TGCCTAGATACCTCTTCTAAGTTTTGCAACAATATCCGATCATGTGACTTCTTTGTTCAATACTGTATATATATATATCCGTGTCAGTGTAAATTACTTGTACCTGATGATAACAAAACCTTATCGAAACGTTGTACATTTACCGTTATATTAAAGTTTTCTTCATTACCCATTCAAGCCGTCTCCAAACATTATTAGTCTCAAAGTGGGTTCCTCGTCATCGAATTTAAAACTTAGATATTTTAACATTTCTAAAATTCACTGTTAACACGCTATTAAAGCTAGAAATGAGTAATATATATATATATATATATATTTGGCAGCTACGATGTTTCGTATCTTGATAAGTTTTATTTTCGCAGTTGGAAACTTTGAAAACTTGTAATTACACACACACACAGGTGCAAAAAATCGAAATGTGGGTGCCGAAAAAAATGTCAGTAAAATTTATATCAAAACAAAGCTCTAACTCTGAACGTTTCACTTATAGTTTTTATCTCGAGGCAGGGGAGATTGAAAAGAAAATTTGAAAACTTAATATTGTCGTGTGACTCTGAAGAAACAAAATCACAAGGCACCAGACTGGAAAGTGCTGGTAATAAACTTTCTGATAAATTGTCAAGGATTTCTGAAGCTGTTGGAAATGATTTATGACATTTTATTGATGTAAAACTAGAGGTGTGAAATTTTCTTCAATTCTTAATCCATCTAAATGAATAAACGGTAATATTATATGAAACACAAACACTTGCATTTATTCCACGACCTTTCTATTCACAGTCATTTTCATTTTCGCTAAATAGCAGTAGCACCCCCCCCCATTACCCCTGTTCATGAACAGGGTAGTTCTGGTGAGTTCACTGCTGTTTATTTCTAGGTATATGATACATATAGTGTTTATATGGTTAACATATACATATGTTGTTAGATATACACGACAGTTTCAGTTTAAGAGGAGAGTCATGATTTAGATAGTTATATAGCGCGAGTGTTAAAGTTAGCCATTTTTAGAAGCGATAGCTTATCGAAAATTTATTTACGTAACTGTTTGCGAATCACAAGTTGTTTAGTTCAATAGTTATGAATTGGGGATTGTTATATTATTGCGTCATGTTACTACGACCTTCCGAGTTTTTCTCGTTGTTTTAATTGAGTATTATTACATCATAATATCTAGTAGTGTGTAGAACGTTCTAGACCTCATTCGGGGTATAAATACACGTCGAAAATTGAGTTCGAAAGATAGATAGAGTTTAGCCATAAAGAGTGTATAGTGGTGATTTTTAAAGTGAAATGATCGCAGACTGTATTGTAATAACAGAATAGAGAAGAATAATTTGTCTTGTCAATTGTCCTGTGTGGATTTTGACGAAAAAGGAAAATTACTTAAAGCTCGGAATACAACTGTGGTAACCAACATTTATAGTGGTAAATTTAAAGTGAAATTATCACAGACTCTATTGTAATAATAGAGTAGAGAAAATAATTCGTTTTGCTAAATTGTGTTCTAAAGTAACTGAACCAACCTATGTGGAACTTAACAAAAAAATAGACAATTACTTAAAGCTCTGGATACGTCTGTGATAACCAACAGTGCAACGATCATTTGTATACATGTTTAACTTGTTTTAATATATTATATTAAAACAAGTGGACTATGTGCTGTTTGTTTATTGTTGAAATTTATCACCAACAAGTCACAGACACCTGCTGTAAGGAATCCGGTCCATAAATAAAACCTGACATATGTATATGAGTAATCGTTTATATTCTTAATATAAAAAAAACAGCATAATTCTTCATGAAAAATGTTATATGAACTTAGAGATCTCGCTTTTAGAATATCAAGTGCATAAATATATTTGGGGAATAATGCAGAAAATAAAGAGCTCTTATAGAAACTACTTTACAATAATATTGATCCACGTAGAATACATGACTTTTGTGAACAATGTTTTTATAATTGGATAAAACCTTCGATAATGTAAAGCTAGGTAAAACAACAAAAAACTCACATCACACAAACATAGAGTTTTAAACGTTAAGATATATAGGTGTGATTGTTTCACCCACCAAGCACAGTTTTGTTTCTCCCTATAACCTCATTCCTCTTAACTATGAGAGCGTCCCGTGTCACTTCCCAGTTGTTGACGACAATGGCTGGACGACCCACCCACATGGTGAACACTGGACCATACTTCTTCTGCCAATCTCTCATTTTTATAAATGGAGGTTGTTTGCCATTGAATTCTGTAAGAAAAGATAAACACGGGGGTCATACGTCACAGCTTGGTGCCATTTTTGAAAACTGGTGTACTTAGTTTGTCATCTATTGACATTTAACAGTTTGTTCCTTTTGCGGATATTGAACAATGGTCTAAAGAAGTTTAAAATGCAACTAACGAACTTTCGATAGGTTTAGAGTTCTAGAGATTAGATCGTTCTAGAACCCAAACATAACAAATATAATAATAAAGAATGTTAGTTATGGTAAACGAAATAACAATTTGATCTATGTAAGAGTTTTTTCTTCCAGATTTGCAAAAAATACTTAAGTGGTAGAAAAAAAAAAAAGACTATTATTTTCAAAATCTGCGTGGTTGAATTAAGGTAAATCCGTTATTAAAACCAAAACAATTTTTATGAAGATTAAATTCGCAGGCCTGTGTAATTAGTCTTTGAACCTGGGCTTTTATCCTATATTACCAAGGGCAAAAAAACAAACAAACAAACTAATATCTTGTTTAATTAACAAGACATTTGTTATCTATATGAATATGGCGAACAATCTAATTTGATGCGAATAGCTCGTCTAAAGTCGATTTTGTTTAAGGTTTCTCACAACAACAACAAAATAATTGTTTCTCGCTGCAACTTACCAAGAAGATTACCCAATACAGGAAGTGGAAATGGTCCAGGAGGATACTTCCGGATTTTTAAAAAGTGCCTAACCAATAAATAGGTCAGAAGACCTACGAAGATAGTGGTTATCCAACCAACGTCTGTCAGTATCTTGGACAATGCCTGGGTCAGCATTCTTCCTTTTCTTTACTTTGAACACAAGATGATCAGTTGATCGCCAATTGTGAAATCAAAAACACGTTTTTATTTTATTAACTACTCAATATATGGAATAAAAGGTAAAATTCCTCAAATGTTATCTTGGTATATTAAAACACGGAAAAGTAAACTAAAAACAGAAACTGTTTTGTATTAAAACACGAAAAGTAAACTAAAAACAGAAACTG